CGCACTCATCCTCTGCCCCACCGCCCCCCCGGACCCCCCGCCCCTGCCCTGTTCCAGCCCTTCCCAGCTCGAGCCCCTCGCTGCCTTGGCCCCTCCCCCTGCCTGCCGGGGGCCCTTAAAATCCCCCCCTCGACGTCGCTTTCAGCAGCCTTCCCTTTCCCTCTGTCATCTTTCGATCCTTCCACTGCCAGACACCCGACTCTCGCCAGCTCACATCGAAAACAACAGCCTCGTCCTTTGACACCACCACCCACCACCACCACCACCACCTTCACCCCTTCCTCGCAAGCATCAGTCTCACCAACTGACTGTCTTGCCACCCATCAGTTGCCCACCATTTACTCCAACCAGCTTTGCTCTTCGCGTGAGTGTCGGCCTTCTCCTCGACGCTCGACAAAGGCTGCCTGTTGGGTCGTGCGGCATGGCAGGGCCGGCAGATCGAGGATTAGGCCGGCAGGCAAGGCGTCATCGCCTTCGCTCTCGCCGCCGCCCCGCTGCCGCTGCCACCCCATCGATTGCCCGGCACGATCGCTGACTCTGTGTGCCCGCTCACTCGCTCCTCGTCGCCGCCCCTCCTAACCACAGACAACACTCACCGGGGCAACAAGCACTCTAGCCCCGCGCCCATATCCTGCAAGTAAATCGAGCCAGCCCAAGACGCCCTTGATTTACTTTTCCACCACGCACCCGCAACAACCCAACACCCAACACCAACCATCCACCTCCCCATCCCGTAACCATGGCCCCTGTCGCAAACGGACGTGCCGCCGCCAACGGTGAGCAGGCCAACGGAGCCGCCGCCGCCCAGGCCCAGGCCCCCATCAACGCCACCGCCGCGCGCCACGAGGACACGGAGCGCATCCGCGTCAACTCGGACAAGGTCGCGTACACCGACGATGCCATCACGTCGACCTACGAGTACCTCAACACGCACGTCGAAAAGGTGCGCCACGACGACGGCACCACCGAGTTTGTCGCCACGCCCATCAGCCGCGAGTACCAGTTCAAGACGGAGCGCAAGGTGCCCAAGACCGGCCTCATGATGGTCGGCTGGGGCGGCAACAACGGCACCACCATCACCGCCACCATCCTGGCCAACCGCCACAACATCACCTGGCACAACAAGGACGGCCTCCAGACGCCCAACTACTACGGATCCATCGTGCGCGCCTCGACGATCCGCCTCGGCACCGACCCCGCCACGGGCAAGGACGTCTGGGTGCCCTTTAGCAACGTCCTGCCCATGGTCCACCCCAACGACCTCGTCGTCGGCGGCTGGGACATCAGCGGCATGCCCATGGACCAGGCCATGGCCCGCGCCAAGGTCATGGACTACGACCTCCAGCGCCAGGTGGCTCCCTACATGGCCGACATGAAGCCGCTCGCCTCGGTCTACTACCCCGACTTTATCGCCCAGAACCAGGAGGAGCGCGCCGACAACGTCATCCCCGGCACCAGCAAGAAGGCCCACGTCGAGCAGCTGCGCCAGGACATCCGCGAGTTCAAGCGCCAGAACGGCCTGGACCAGGTCATTGTCGTCTGGACGGCCAACACGGAGCGCTACTCGGAGGTGCTGCCGGGCGTCAACGACACGGCCGACAACCTGCTCAAGGCCGTCGAGCAGGACCACGCCGAGGTGTCGCCCTCGACCGTGTTTGCCATCGCGTGCATCCTCGAGAACGCGCCCTACGTCAACGGCGCGCCGCAGAACACGTTTGTGCCCGGCTGCATCGAGCTGGCCGAGCGCCACCGCGCCTTTATCGGCGGCGACGACCTCAAGACGGGCCAGACCAAGGTCAAGTCGGTGCTGGCCGAGTTCCTGGTCAACGCCGGCATCAAGCCGCTGTCGATTGCGTCGTACAACCACCTGGGCAACAACGACGGCTACAACCTGAGCTCGCAGCGCCAGTTCAAGAGCAAGGAGATTTCCAAGGCGAGCGTCGTCGACGACTGCTGCGCGGCCAACCACCTGCTCTACAAGCCGGCCGTGCCCGGCAAGAAGGGCGCCGACGGCAAGGCCGACAAGGGCGAGCACCCGGACCACTGCATCGTCATCAAGTACCAGCCCGCCGTGGGCGACCAGAAGGTGGCCATGGACGACTACACGTCGGAGCTGTGCATGGGCGGCCGCAACCGGCTGTACGTGACCAACCTGTGCGAGGACTCGCTGCTGGCGTCGCCGCTGCTGCTGGACCTGACGATCCTGGCCGAGCTCATGACGCGCATCACGTACCGCGTGCCCGGCGAGGCGGCGTCGGCGGGCGGCGACGACGCCGAGTGGAGCTCGATGTACTCGGTGCTGTCGCTGCTGGCCTACTCGCTCAAGGCGCCCGTCGTCAAGCCGGGCACCGACGTGGTCAACTCGCTCAACCGCCAGCGCGCCGCGTGCACCAACTTCCTGCGCGCGTGCATCGGCCTGGCGCCCGAGAGCGACCTGCTGCTCGAGACGAGGATCTGGTAGGCGTGCCAGCCACCCGCTCGACGGCCATGGCCGTCGTCGTCCTCGTCGAGGTCGTCGGCGGCGGTTTGGGGATGCTGAGCGAGGGTCGAGACACCTGGCCAAGCAGATTGCTTTGGAGCATCGCGCGCGGCAGGCTCTCGGCTCTACTCGGCGTCGTCCCCTCGGCCGTCGACGTTGTCCCGTTGTCCCCCAATGTCGTGGACCCTTTTATACTTTCCCCCCTTGTGCCCATCTATCCCTCCCTCTCGCAGTCTAGACGAGTTGCTGCTGCGCTGTAGTCGTTTTCATGCTGCCATGACCGGCTGGTGCCTTTGCCGGTCTGGCCGGGAAGCTTGGACCTGAGTGCACCGTGAAATGTCAAGCTGCGCCCTCCCCTCTTGTCATCCTTTTTGACGGCACGTTTGAGAGTTTGGCGGTGCGGTACGAGGATGGCGATGGAGTGGTGCGTATGTCGAGCAGGGCGCGGGGTCGGAGCGGTGTGGTGACGAATCAGAGAGCGCCATAGGAGGAGCGAGCGAGAGCGAGGGAGCGAGGGAGGGAGGCGGGCCAGAGCGGAAATCTGAAGCCGCCTTTTGGGGTGTGCGGGTGTCGCGTGGGCGGGAGAGCCCAAGCCGTCTGGACCGAGCGGCGGCGTGCGGGGGGGGGGGGGGGGGGCGGGCGAGGCGGGGCGAGGCGAGAGGAGGGACCCTCCAAAGGCGAATCAGAGGCAGGTAGGCCGGGTTGTGGAGGCAGCCAGACGCACCGACGGGATGGATGTTTCCGGGGAGCGAGGACGGGGGCGGGGGCGGGGGCGGGGGCAGGGCAGCCTACATAGCTTGCCCGACTGGCCGCCGACCCAAGAGGCGACCGTCGAGACGGACGTCACATCGCCTGTCCGCTCTACCCGAGGCCAATCGAGCTTGCTTGAGCCCCCCGCCTTCCTTCCGCTGTCGCAGCAGTCGCTCCCGACCCTCCGTCCGTCCGTCCGTCCGTCGGTCCGGCTTCCTCCTTTCCGCTTCCATCCATCCATATCCTCAACCAGCGGGACGTCAAACGCACCGCGCCTCGTCCCTTTCTTTGGCCTCGTCTACACGGTCACACACCGTCGCACCGCACCGCACCGCACCGCACCGCACCGCACCGCCACGCCACGCCACGACAAGGACAATGTCCCAGCAGGTCTCGCAGCAGCTCCAGGCCGTCGGCGTCGAAGAGGACAAGGCCTACTACCTCGGCCGGTATGGCGTAAAGGGTGAGCACGGCGTAGCTCGCAGCGCCTCGGATCGAGCATGCCTCGTCTGCCAGCCCATCCTTCGGTCTCCCCGCTGACCCGTGTCCTCCCCCGGCTGCTCGCCATGTCCAATCGCGTCTTGCGCCCCCGCCGCCGACAGGCCTCCAGTACGGCTGCCTCCTCGCCACGCCACTCTACGCCGTCCGCGCCCTGCGCCGCGGCACTTTTAGCCTGCGCGGTCTCATGCGCGCAAAGTAGGTCCTCACTCCCTGCCGTACCCGCCCCTCTCCCCCCGCTCGCCTCTGACTCTCTCCACCTGCACACACACCCGCTCTCCTCTCTCTCTCTCTCTCCCTCNCNCTCNCNCNCNCNCTCNCNCNCTCTCTCNCTCT